TAAGCTTTCCTTTGTTAAACCACAACAATTTATATCTTTCGTTTTTGGCAATTTCGCCATCTCTTAAAAGTTTTTTTTACAATTAAAAGTCAGAGCATAATTTATAAAAATGTAGTTGTTAGTTCCATCAATGAAATATTATTTTCTTATATTAATTATGTATTTTCGGATCTATACTTTCTTAATAAATTCCTGTTATACTTGGGAGCGCACAAATGCCATACGAATAATTTCAGGTTTACTCCGATTGGAATTACGCTTGCGATAATTTTTTGTTAATATCCTTATCAATTATTTCCACACTTGTTATCTTCCATATTTCGTAATATATTTTGAGAGAGAGAGAGAGAGAGAAAAAGAGGGAGAGAGAGAAAGAAAGAAATGAGTAAAAGGCATAAAGATGGAGAGGGTTATAGAGTAAGATAAGTTGAGAGACATAGAGGGAGGCTAGGATAGACCGCTTTAGTTAGTCACGCTCGGTTAGATCTCTGTGTAGCACTTAACGTGAGAGTGTGAGAAAAAAAATAAGGGTGAAAAAGAGGTTGAACTAAAGAAACAAAGAAAGAGCGGGAGAGAGAGAGAGAGAGAGAGAGAGAGAGAGAGAGAGAGAGACAGACAGACAGACAGAAAGACAGACAGCTACATCAACATAGCTAAGAAAAGTACATCGGATATGGTAAGGAATGGGCGATAGCGTTCTAGGAAAGTGAATAAGAGCGAGAGTGAGCGAAGAAGAGAGAGAGAGAAAAAGAAAAAGCAAGAGGAGAAAGAAAAAAAAGAAAAAAAGCGAGAGGAAAAGCAAAACGAATAGGGTGAATAGTCAGAAAATGATAAAGTCAGTAGTGGAGGGAGTTAGATAGAAATGAAACATGAGAAAAAGGGAAAATTGGATTATAACTTTGTAATTTTCAACATTGTTCATGTTCACTTCTTTCCATTTAAATATTATTTTTTCAGCAAAAACATACATAATTTCTTTACAGATAATTAATAATGTGTGGTTTTTACTTATTATTCTAATTCAATGATGAATGTTCCTCGATAGATGTTTCCTATTCGTGATTTATTAAACAATATTATAAACGCCACTGTTTGATCAAAGCTTGGAAAGAACAATCATTTTTTCCTACAATTATTGTTAGCAACTATATAATCTTCAGTGAACTGCGTAAGATTGCAACAGGTGGTTTGGGTGAACCAACCTCTCTCGCCACTTTAAATCAACATAGAATTGAATTACAGCTCAACAACCGATAGTTGATAAATAAACGAGAGGCTAGTTAATCCGAAAGGAAAGAATATCGGGTAGCAGTTCTTTAAGTTAATTGTTACACTTTGTGATAAAAGGTTCTGTTAATAAATAAAATTACGTACTGTAGAATTTGCCTACAATACACATAACAAAATTGTAAACTAAACAGCAAAACGATTTAATAAATTTCACCAGTATTAAAGTTTAATTTTACGTAATTTCTCTGTTTCCCTGCTGCAAGCTTCAACACGTGATTTTACCTTATTGGACCAAATAAACGTAATTACATTTGCATCTCGAGCTTTTACAAAATTTCCATTAAAACATTCGTAATTATGTAGAAGTATGTACGCGCGAAGAATTTTTTCCAAAAAACATTTTTTGATAAAGACATGGTGAAGTAATAATACATGTTCCGGCTCTTAGGGAGAGGACCGCACGAAAATCTTTATGTGTTATGCACTTCTACGTGTACGTCCCTTTTGGTTCTTTTGTTAGTAACATGACGAACGTAACAAAGTGGTTAGCAAGTTACGGAAACAGGAGTGCAATATTAAGAAAGATCGTGCAAGTGAAAACCCACATTTTCCGTTTTATTCACAGAAGGCCTGGTGATGACCAATAAATAAATAGAAACACTCAAAGACACAAAAACCAGATACATGTGTTTATTTTCCATAATAACAAGTAAAAAGATTAATAATTGACTTCAAAACGTAAACACAACATTTTGTTTTTAGAGTAATTTAAAAAAATCGTTTAAATATTTATAAACTATTAAATATCCTCTTTTTAGCGCCATAATTCCGCAAGAAAATTCTTATATTCTCATACACATTTTGTCATCGCATGCATACTAATTTAAATATAACAATATGTAATAAAAATTAAAGTAATAGCATATTTAGTTCCATATAAAATAAATGAACCTTTTGGGGGCTTGGGCCAATTGGTCTCAAGAGGGAAATTCAAATCATACATGATCATATATTTTCCTTACTTAACAACTATTTTAATTTAAAAAATATTTCCTTCATTTCTTTAGAGTGGTTAATGTTGTTCTATCCTTTGAAAATATTTATTAATAACAATACACACGTACGTGACACGAAAAATTTTATTACGTTGATTAGTGAAAAAATACAACTTTGTCCTTAAAATATAATAAACATTATTTACTTGTTTATTTAGAAATCGTGAGATGCGGTCTGGTGTGATGTAGGTTTGAGAAAAACATTTTCTTTATCGTGCCAACGTTTCGATCTTTATTGAGATCATCTTCAGGGCCTGGGATTTACAAACATTGTTTACATTTAACAAATACATTTAGGATGTGGAAAAGTGAATTTATACAATGCAAAATATATTTTTTATATTCAATCAAAGTATTTCTACTCACTCAAAGTGTTTGTCTTCTGTGTAATTGTGCCATTCTTGCGTGTCGTGTCGAGAGTGCCAGTGAGATTTTGCTATTTTGTGTTTATATACGTTGGATTTTGAAGGGGTGGGGAAGGATGTCGGTATAGAAAAGACATTTTTGTATAAGGCGTCGGCTTCTTTGAGGTGAAAAGAGCCGACGAAGGGAAAAAATGTGTTGGTAATGGTTCGGCCAGATTATCCTTTCAGGATTATATAAAAATGTGTAGAGATTAGTGACCGTTAATCGATAGTTATTCAGATATCGTGAGATGCGGTCGGGTGTGATGTAGGTTTCAGAAAAACATTTTCTTTATCGTGCCAACGTTTCGATCTTTTATTGAGATCATCTTCAGGGCCTGGGATTTACAAACAATGTTTACATTTAACAAATACATTTAGGATGTGGAAAAGTGAATTTATACAATGCAAAATATATTTTATATTCAAACAAAGTATTTCTACTCACTCAAAGTGTTTGTCTTCTGTGTAATTGTGCCATCCTTGCGTGTCGTGTTGAGAGTGCCAGTGAGATTTTGCTGTTTTATGTTTATATGTGTTTGGTTTTGAAGGGGTGGGGAAGGAAGTCGGTATATAAAAGACAATTTTGTGTAAGGCGTCGGCTTCTTTGAAGTGAAAAAAGCCGAGAAAGGGGAACAATGTGTTGGTAATAGTTCGGCCAGATTATCCTTTCATAAAACAGCAGAATCTCACTGGCACTCTCAACACGACACGCAAAGATGGCACAATTACACAGAAGACAAACACTTTGAGTGAGTAGAAATACTTTGTTTGAATATAAAATATATTTTGCATTGTATAAATTCACTTTTCCACATCCTAAATTTATTTGTTAAATGTAATCATTGTTTGTAAATCCCAGGCCCTGAAGATGATCTCAATAAAAGATCGAAACGTTGGCACGATAAAGAAAATGATTTTTTGAAACTTACATCACACCCGACCGCATCTCACGATATCTGAACAACTATCGATTAACGGTCACTAATCTCTACACATTTTTACTTATATACTTTCTTCCTTTCTTCAAAAAAAAAAAACGACGGATTAAATCGGTAAGAGATAATGGAAAAAATATAATTAGCTTTATTATACGGAAAGAAATCTACTACATTTAATATACTTAATTGTAATATCAGTCGCGAAGGGTTGAAAAGCGAGCAGGCGCAGCACGAAGCTCACTTTCCGTAAAGCACAGCTGTTGGCCATATCCTCGTACCGCATACTGAATATTAAAGAACCTGGTTAACTTATAATACCTTTAATCACTCGGGCAGTGCTGCTGAATCATAAGCAACGGCTGAAAGCAAAGAAAAAACATTCACTTATTGTTTATAGTCGTGTTGTTCCGATTTAATTTTAACAGTTATCATTTGAGGTTTAGATACATTAGTTAACTTAAGTTGAAATTTAAATTTCTTGAAAGAAAATTTCATGGAAAAAGCATGTCAATAAAAAGTTTGATAATACGAAAAACCTACTCTAAAAACTGAAAAGCTATATGTCAGATTTCAATTGTACCTAATCAATAAAACTATTCAGTACATGGTGGAAATACAAAAAATATCCCTTTAATACAAGGGATTCTTCTAATTTTCCTGAAGAAAAACGTCTTAAACCTCATGTTCAATTTATTGCATCATTTTTGGGTTTGTAAAATATGATGCCTGTTATGTCAGCCTAAAGCGTGGTTTATTATGTTTATAATTAATTCGACTCTCTCTCCATATTTTTTTATTTATTTGTTTCGTGCATGCTTAATTTTTTTTACGAGGGTATTTCAACTACGAGGTTATATGAACCCTCGGGGTGCCGATGTTTTTGAAAAAAGCCCATTTGCAAGTATGTCGGGTTCGAATACAGGGCCGCTGGATTCGAACCCGGGACCTTTAACTTACAGTGATGAGCGCCGTGTCAATGCCTAAACCGTTGCGGCCACCGACGCCCCATGCCTTAAATTACGAATCTATACATGCGGGGAGCCCTATATTCTGAATAAAAGTTCAAATTACAGACACATATTATCAGGATATAAATAATTATTAAGAACATGTAATACACACAACAACCATCAGAAAAAACAAAATCATTTAATGTAAACAACAAAATGGATAAAAACATGTTTTGTAATAAGTTAAATTATAAATAAAATAGTTAAATATCAGAACTGTCATATGTACAAATTCAATGCATGTGCAATATAAAATGTGAAACATATAATATGTACGTAAATCCACGGCCCTGCACCATATTTTATGTAACTTCCAACCATTATTTTTTTTAAAGGGTTTCTTGTTTTTTATTGTTACAGAGATTGGGTAGCGTGAGAGGTGAGGACGTAAACTACCTCCTCGGTCTGCCACTTGTAGGAGGTTATCCTTATTTCCCCCAAAATTATACCACTCAGGACCATAAAGTCGCTGAGTCTGTTCTCAACTTCTTTACCAACTTTGCGAAAACTGGGTAAGTTCCCTTCCACCAGCTTAATCCATATCTCTCATTTAGACTTGGCCCAACATTGTTATAAACTTTGATATTATGAGGTTTTTGTTGAACTTGGCTTTTTTTTATCTTATTTCCGGGGTTAGTTTACGAAGTCTACTTTAACGCTTGATCACTTGCCAATGGGAGTGACAAAATAAGAAAAGTAACCATTTCACGTGATCGCTCTAAATGGTTTTTATTTCCGCTTTTTTATACTACTTTTATAATGAGTTGATAAGCATTATCAAAGATTAGATGTATAAATAGTTTTATGATTTTAGTTCTGCTCGCTTGCTGATTAAATATTTGACTTTTAAGATTAAAAGTAAAATTTATTTGTTTTTGTTGTCCCTCTTTTTTTTCCTTTTTATAGATAATTTTATGCTTAAACCTATACTGTAGTGTGTTTCTTTTTACATGTTGAAATGTACAACGTTTCAGCATTTTTATTACATTATCGTTGTAATAAAAATGTATTAATAATTAAGCAAATGGAATAAAATACGTTTTCTGCAAATAATTTTCATTTTACTTGAGAATGGGACATTATGATAAACGTTGTACACTCGAACAATAAAAAAACACCTTCAAGAATAACCGTAAAAATAACGAAAATTAAATAGTGAAACAATTTTTTTTAATAGTAATTCTAGTTATTTTACAATTTTATAAAATATTTGTCTACCACTCGTAATCATCCATCAAATTTGATAATGTTCATCGTTCGCATCGTATAATTAAGTCTACCTATATTCTATGTTTTAGTCAATTAGGCGCGTCTTCGTCATCATCATTGATGGGATTTGTGGGTTTCATAACAATTACAATTCACATGTTAAGGCAGAAACGGCTTTCAATAACCTTCCCGACTAAAAGGAGCAGTTAAAGCTTCGGGAGGAACCTTAGAAAGGATAAGTATTCTCTCGAATTCGTTCAAAATTCAGATTTAATTTAACAATTTCAAATCAAAATATCCTAAAAAGCAGACTGTAAGAAAGGGATCAAGGGATCCCAGTTAATGATGAGCATTTCTGCTCTAGAGATTATTGACGGGGTGTGACTTATTTATTGAAAAAACTTCTTCTTTCTTAACAACCACGAAAGGGCAAACAATAACACTACGGCTAGTACTACACTCGGAGGACACGCGTTGTGAGAAGCCAGTGACACTCACTTTGTTAGTAAGGCAAGGAGGTCTCGTGGCCATCGCCATTTGAGGCGACATGAAGCGTTCTTGGGATCAGAAATGCTTAGGATGGGTTGAACGATTGGTATGAAACATAAAACAGGAAGCGGGAAAGGATCATTTTTTTATGAAGAGAACGTTAAGGTCATTGTGGATAGTGGATTGTACTGGAGACATAGATAGGAGATTAGAAAATTCTTCTCAGAAGATTGGAGTGCATGGATTCATTGGATGTTAGATAGCTTGGTACTCCACAGTTCCACTCCGTAGGTTGAAGTAATGTATCGTACCAAGTTAGTATATTGGTTGCCTTTATGTCTGATTTCAATCCTACTCATCTTCTTAGTTGTCCAAATCGTCTATTTAGCTCTTGTGTCTTGAGTCCATGTTTAGGATTCCACGTCAGTCTACTGTCCTAGCCCTAAATATATTACTTGTGTAGATCGTTTTTTACTGTTAACATGGGCCAGACGTGGGCAAGGCGTAATTTGGGTGCATTCGTCCTCGTTCAGTTTCATTTTTCACGGTTTGCACCATTCATCAATGAGCTAAGGATGCTTGGGGATGCTGGAGATGGCTTAGATAGGATATGAGATAGGAGATAAAATTGCAGTACCCTCCGCGTAGGTTGTAAGGATGTTGTTGGGATATATCGAAACCTCATTAGTACAAATTGTATATAGGATAGGACTTGACATCCGAAAACACGGTGCATCCCCCTCTGAAGCTGCGATCGGTTAGTTAGGATATTAGGATTTGGTAATAAGAGAATCCGGTTTTTAATATGGAACAATGCAACATGTCACAATTTGATATAAAAACGCTGGTTTTACAAACAATTTTGAAATAAATTAAATTTCTAGCTGGCCAATCACATACTTTTGGAAGTGTGGTTGAGTGTATTTACGTGGGTATATTTTTGACATAATTATGAATTTCCACAGTCTAATTCCACCAGTAAAATAACAGAAAAAGTCTATGATCAAACAAATCGCACACAGCGCAATCCTATGTTGTTTGTTTTCGGATAATTAGATCATCATAATCATCATAGGGGGCAAATTTGATAATATCCTTTGGTACGCCGACATTATTGTGATCATAGGAGATAGAGACGACGGCCTTCAAAGAAATATTAACCTATTAGAACTTTTTGTGACCAATGGAACTTCACCCTATAACTGGATAAGTCTGAAATTTTAATTTTGTTTTATTTCTATAATTTATACTGCACAACAAAACTAGCAAACGTTAAGTTATTACAAAACATATTATTTTTTTAAATCAGTTGAATGTAATTTTCCAGAAGTGTTGTGACAATATCAGTTAAGTAACTATAAAATTGTCTAAAAGTAACCTGCACTCTATGATCTAAATTACTCATAAACGTTGATGCAATATAAACAACTAAAACTAATTTTAAAAAGTCAGAGTATTATCAACAAAACAGTCGATATGTTAAAATAGCCTCAGATTTGCAGAAGATCGTCTTCAAACTACATAAAAGTGTAAAAACACTTTATAATTTCAAAGGTGAACTTGCTTCCGTGAATGGGCGGCGTAATTGTTGATTGCCGGTGCTAAGAGCTGGTGAGCAAGAGCTCCCACCCCCGGCAATTTGTGTCAAAACGGGTCCAAGTTGTTGTCACAAAGGGTAGGCAACGTCCATTGTCAAGTTAGGACAAGCCATGGGGACGGTTAGGCCTCTAAGTGAATCACAACTCAACAGCCACGTTCTCGACCGCAATAGAATTTGTTGGAAATCTCTTCAGTCGGAACCCGGGACTCTTAAACACAATTTCCGTTCCCAAGAGCCTCCCCGGACGCCTTTTCCTTCAAGCAACCTCTTCTCTTCAAGATGATGAAAACACCGCATAAATGAAGTATTCTTCGACTGGCTTCAACCTTGGATTTAACTTATCTGTCTAGGCAACTAAAATACACCAATAAATATGTTTCAGCATGAGTGCTAATAATTCTGCCTTTAAGATCTTTGTTTCTGAACATTAGTGGCTGGTTATCGACTTCTCGCCTTCATTAGCGGTGGATTATTCTGGCTTGTTGTTTCATCAGGCCACACATTTTAAATGTAAGTCATGCATGTTAAAACCTCGGTGTTGCCTTTGTCTGACGGCGTCAGCTAAAATATATCTGGTCTTTTCATATAAAAATCTACGTTTTGAATGGTTTAGTTGTTATTTTTGTACGAAATAAATATGGTATTTTGAAGGTTCAGATTAAAACCGGTGGTGTCTGTTAAACCCCATCCTATGTATTTTGTTTTTGAATGACTTAACTTCACTTCTTGTATATAGTGATACTAGCAGATAGATTCGACGACTACAAAGAAATATTAACCTATTAGAAATTTTTTGTGATTAATTAAAATCGACCGTTAGCCTGGATAACGTGTTTTAAAACTTTTTGTTTTTTTACAACTGCATTCTTCGATGCAACAAATAAAACACATAATATTTACATATAAACATATTAACGGTAAGCATGAAAGTGTGAACAGCTACCATCCAGTGATGGTAGCCGTTAGTAAATCAATACGATGAGCGAGATGTACTCCATCGTAGGAGACCGATGTTAAGGTTATCGCGGGGCCACCGACGCTTCAGTCTTCTGTTTGGATTATTAGTTAGTGAGGTGGATGACAGGCTTTTGACGAAAGAGTTCAGATGATGAGGCAGTTTGGAATGGAACGTTTTGTAGTTTGAAAATGATAACTTTAAAATTTTAATTTTTAGGATCGGTGGTAGGCAAGCTGCATTAGAGAGTTGAAACTATAAGGGTAAGAAAATAGAAGCTGTAAATAACAAATACCTAGTGGCCAATCTGTTATCGAAACTGTCTTTTGTTAATCATCTACAAAGACTCACTAAGTTTGCTGTACATAGGGTTTAGGTCGAGCTGTTCACCCAGGACCTGGTTCAGCAAAGTTCAAAGTAACTAGTTTTCGTGGTCTTATTGACCAAATAATATCTTTCAATTAATTAATCTTTATATAAGGTATTGGTTATAATGGTTATTCAACAAACTCGGACTGAAAACAGCACTAAGGACAAACAATAACACAGGTAAACTACTAAAAAGAAACATAGACACAACTAACCCGCTTGACAACAACGGTGTTTATAGCATCACATGTCAATGCGGATACACTTACATCGGACAGACTGGAAGAAAACTAAGAGATCGATTCAAAGAACATCTTAGATCCTTCAGAGACAATGACGGAAAATCAAATTACGCCACACACTTAATACACTACAACCACGAACCAAACACAATAGAAACAAGCATGACATTAATACACAACGCACAAAAAGGACGAAAACTAAACATACTGGAGAACCTCGAGATATACAAACAAATAACACTTAAAGACGGAAAACTTATAAACGCACAAACAAACTCACAATCACACACCACCTTCACACCACTAAAAACACTCCATAACAAAAAACGAAAACGTTCAGAAGAACAAAACATCGCAACCAACACCAGGAAAAAACAAAAACCAACAACGCACAAATAATAACTGACAATGAAAATAACCGCCACCAAGACCGACCAACGAGCACGGGGACGACGCCCCCTAACGCAACGCCCCCAGCGACAAGCGACGGACGCAACAATATATAAACCCCACTCAGACTGAATGACAGACAGTTTTTCACTGAAGATGGCGTAATGCAGAAACGCGTTTGAATAACTCAAACAAAAAACCCGCGAGTGAAGACAGACCCAGTAGTGCCCGTGTGCCGGTTCAACATGACATAAAAGA